GGGGGGGGGGGGTAAATCCCCGCATGGGAACGTCCACCAGCATAACTCCGCAGCAGTTTCTTGTTGGGGGGAGGGGGTGCCACATGTCTTAGACTGCAGTCAGAAAATGACCCAGAAGGCCAGGATGACCTGACCAGGTTGGTTGGACGGTATGCCATGTCTAGCAGTCATGAATTCCTGGGTGCAAATCCTCCTTAGAACCACAGAGTCAGTCAGTCTTTAAACTTAAAAAGATACATTTTCAACCCAGCATTTTGGGAAACTAAAGCCTAAACAGTGACCTGCCCAGTGATCACGCTTCCCGCTGCTCAGCGGTTCAGTAGCTGACTTCGGGGTTGGACTCTCCCTCACCCCCAGGGACGCTCACCAATGACACTGCGGACACAGTTCTCCTCGTGGGCAATGTCCCGGAGCTGTCCCATCAGAGACGCTGTGCTGTCACTGCTCAGAGCAGCAAGGCCCATGTTCTTGAGGCTTTGGTGGATTTCCTTAGACACCTGCTCACTCACAGTCAGCATGGCCTCCTCCGGCCTAGGCCATGAAGGAGAGGAAGCTGGCGCCCACCAGGTGGTCCTGGCGTTGGCCCAGAGCCCGGGAAGCTCCACGCCGGGGCCACGGGAGGGAGGCTCCCAAACCTCCTGCCCTCACCCAGCCCCTGGGGGCAGCAGAGCCCCATGGGTAGGTTCAGTGCCTTCACTCTCACCCTCAGAAATCGACCTCTCTCTACATACAACACCATGTTCTACCCTTTAGAAAACAAGATAAACTCAAATCAGCTCCAGACAAGCGTTTTGTCCTGCCCTTGGATCAATTCAGTAGTCTTTAGCCCCATAGCACTTATATTTGTGTGTGTGTGTGTGTGTGTGTGTGTACGCGCACATTTTTAAGACTTTCTTGGACATTTTCCATGGCCGTCTGTCCTCTCGCCAATTCCAGTGACAAGCCTGGCCTGATTCCGCTGCTGCGGTGCCTGCACGGCTGGTGTCCAGTCAGCGGTGCCGCCTGATCCACTCGCCCCACACCCCCCGAAACCAGCCCGCCAGCCACTCCCCCGCACAGGCTCCTTTGCCGCAAACAAGATAAGGAATCACTTTGTAGCAAACTAGCCTCTGCTCTACTCTTTCTGGAAGACAGTTTCTTCATCACAAGCCTCACGCTATGGAAAGACCCCAGTCATCTTTGTGGATGGTTCCAAGGGCGTTTCTGTGGTTTGTGGTGGGACGTAAGCCATCGCTCCTCATCTGCTCTGTCCTCAGACCACGTGTCATCTCCTCCAGAGAGAAAATATCGACACAGAAAATATCTCACCTGGAACTAAACTCCTCCGTGAGGGCTTTGGTTGCGCGTTTCAGCTTATCCACGAACTGCGGTGAGCCAAACAGAACACTGCCCGAGAAACTGCTGGCCACCAGCAGGACCGAGGCCAGGACCGTTAAGCGGCGCAGCTGGGCCTCCAGCTCCTGCAGCCGGGCTCTGTCTGCCAGCAGCGTCTGAGGGCGCAGGGAGGACAGGCTGTCAGAGAGCAGGGCCCTGCAGCAGGTCCCAGGCACACCCGGGCAGCGTCCCACACCACCTACCTCGGGGAACTCCTCGTCGTCAGGGTCCCAGAGAAGAAGGTTCAGGAAGGCCTGGGACAGCACCATTGTGGGGCTGAGGGGCTCTGGGCAGGCAGCTGCCTCGTTTGGAGAGGGGCAGGTGACGCTGGCGGAGTCCGGAGTGTCGGGGCAAGCGGGAGGCAGCGCACTGAGGTCCGCGGCTGCTCGGCCGAGCCACTTGGCCGTGTGGTCCAGGAGGCCTGGGACCGGGCAGGGAGCTTCAGCAGCCGCAGCGGCTGCGAGACTGAGGCTCTTTTCCAGACATACCCCTCCCTGGCCAGTAACTAACGCCAATGGGGTGGGGTGCCTCTCCCTCTTAGGCGACTGCTCTTTCTCCCCCGCCCCTGCCAGGGAAGACCCTTTCTGGTCCTAAGAGGAGGCAGGGTGCTCTCTAGCCTCATAGTCAGCCCCGAGGTCCCATGGTCCCTCGCCCGCCCGAGTTGCACACACCCGGCTGCTTGCTGAGGCGGGCCTGGAACCGGGCCCGCTCGTGCTGGATGGAGTGCTTCCGCAGATGGGGCTGCAGGCTCTGGAGAGTGTAGTTCATCATGTCCATTTTCATCAGGCCCAGAACCTGGAAGATCCCCCTGACAGAGAAAACAGCATTTTATATGAAGCAAATCCAGTGAGAGGGGCTCCTACACAAAGAGCGGTTAAATCGTGGCATTCTAGAATCAGGAGGGGCTTCAAAACTAACTCAGCCCTGCCTCCTCTCTTTACAGAAGCTGACATGGGGCCCTGGACCCAGGAGCCAAGGCCCAGAGGGAAGGAGCAGCAGAGCAGGAACAGGTGTCTCTGGACCCTGAAGCCCCTGAGCTAGATCTTTCCACAACAGTTGTCCTGGTGTCTCTTACAAAGGGAGTTGGAAGAACACACACCAGAACGCTAACAATCCTCTCTGAGAAGTAGGATTACAGGGGATGTTATTTCTGGTGCTATTTCTGGGCCAAGTACTTTTTTTTAAATTTTATTTTATTGATTTGAGAGAGAGAGAGGAAGGGGGAGAGAGAAACATCAATTTGTTGCCCCACTGATGCATGCATCCACTNTTACAGGGGATGTTATTTCTGGTGCTATTTCTGGGCCAAGTACTTTTTTTAAAATTTTATTTTATTGATTTGAGAGAGAGAGAGGAAGGGGGAGAAACATCAATTTGTTGCCCCACTGATCGATGCATCCACTGAGGTTGATTCTTGTATGTGCCCTGACCGGGGATCAAACCCACAACCTTGCTGTATTGGGACAATNTGAGGTTGATTCTTGTATGTGCCCTGACCGGGGATCGAACCCACAACCTTACTGTATTGGGACAACNTTGAGAGAGAGAGAGGAAGGGGGAGAAACATCAATTTGTTGCCCCACTGATCGATGCATCCACTGAGGTTGATTCTTGTATGTGCCCTGACCGGGGATCAAACCCACAACCTTGCTGTATTGGGACAATGCTCTAAACAACTGAGCTACCCAGCCAGGGTTGTGGGTCTACTTTTTTAACTTTCTGCATCTGGGTCTTAGTTTCTATAGCTAGAAACTATGTGAACTGTTAAGAAAACTTGGGAAAGCGATGTTTGAACTTCTTAGAAGAAAAGATTACATACACGAATGTTTTACAGGGGGCTCAGTCCTTCTGAGGATAACCAGAGGACCCTGCGAGGCCATCTTTGGGAAAGGAAAGCTAATAGGCCAGAGAAAGGAATCAGGTCTTCAGCCTGGTACAAGTGAGGGAAGAGCTGCCAAGACAGGGGCTGCCACCCGGCGTGTGGCCCACAGGAGGCAGGTGGCCGGGACAGTAATCAGGTTTCGCACCTCAGTAGCCGCGTGGAGTCTGTAATGCCGTCTAGGTTCTGCACCGCCTCATCCCGAACCGGAGCACACAGCAAAGTCATCATGCTGAGAATGTACTTAGAGAGACGCAGGACGTTCAGGGCCCCGCGCTCCGCTTCCTGCTGGAGGAGTTCCGCGTCCAGAGCTTCTTCGATCTCACTTCTGAGGCGGTTCTGGCGTGGTAACAGCAGCGACAGCAAGATCTGCGCAGGGCAGAAAGTCAAAGGGGCTGCACTCTGTTCAGAGCCCCAACTTTCTCTAACAGAAGCCCCGTTAGCCAAACACATCCCCGCCTGTGTCTTTTTTTTTTTTTTTTTTTTAAGAGAGAGAGGAAGGGAGAGGAAGAGAAAGTGAAACACTGGTCAAGGGAATCAAACCCGAAACCTGGGTATGTGCCCTGACGGGGAATCGAACCCTTCATCTTTCGGTGCACGGGACAGCGCCCCAACCAACTGAGCCACACCAGCCAGGGCACAGCCTGTGTCTTTTAAGGATCAAGAAGTCAGGTCCCTTAATTTCCTAGAGAGTTCTCTTTATCTTTGTTTAGGGACCACTAATAGATGAAGGCTTTAGGGATCAATTACAGCAATAATACATCATTTTCTAGGCAGAATGAGATAAAGAGATTAACAAAATCAAGGCAAGTGGTAAAAAGAAACTCAAGGTGCAACAAATATAAAATACACACCATCACATGGCGATGAGTTACTCGTTTAAAAAAGCAGGCATGCTTGAGATTTACTTCAAAGAGCAAGGAGAAATAGGCAAAGGAACTGTCAGGAGTCACTGGAAATGGCCTATTAACCCGAAAATTAAGTCCTCTGTGAACAGTCTCTCTGCTTCATCTCGGTGCCTCGGTAGCACACATAGCGGGGTCGACGGATGGGGTTCAATGAACATGTTTAATTGAATGGAATATTGTGTTGTTATAGCAAAATCCCATCTGTTTAGCTTCATCTTCAGCAAATGAAATGGAAGGTGCTCCACACTATGTATTTAATGGTCCAGTTTTCACTCTGGAGCCGTTGGCTCCAAGCCTGCCCTCAGCGCCTGCTCTGTGAGCGCGCGGCTGGCTCCCACTACGTTCACTATGTTCGTTTTGTCAGTAGAGGGCGCTACAGAGGAAGAGGTCCTCTTCCCGGTGGGTGTGCCCCCCTCACAGGCCCCTGGCACACAAGCCAGCTTCTCTTTGTTCAAATTACTGCCTGGTTTCTTCATCCTGATTGGACGCTGACTGATACAAAATTGGTACAAGTGAGGTTTGAACTCAAATGGCTATATGTCCATTAGCGCTCATGAGCAGCAAGTAGCAAGTATTTCACATTTTAGATGCCTCAGAAAGCCACCCGGACTGGAGGACGGCTGACAGTCCCCACAAAAACACAGCTGCCCGTCAGCTCGGTGAAGCTGGCAGAGCTTCAGAAGTCTGCACCTTCCAAGCGAAGTCCTCCGAGGTAGGAGACAGGCTAGGCTGCTGCACCTCAAACCACCAGCCAGGAAAAAGAGGCACAACATTTGCAGGCCTTGGGTTTTCAAGAAGGCATACACCACATCAGAGTTTTGTGGACCCAAAGGGGGCTCTATAATCGATGTGATGAGTCCCTGTGACTGATCATAAATTCCTAGCTGGGCAGGTCACAATGGGTAGTCACCCCCAAGGCACGTAACTTTTACAGTAAAAGGTTTATCTTCACCTTAAGCAAGCCCTGCCCATTGTTCTGTGCATCTGGGTTAGCACACCTTTGAAATGCCAGAGTGACCCCTCAGGGGAGCACAGGATCTTGATAACCATAATCTTCTTTACCTTCCCTCCTTAATTCCAAATGTGTAAAAGAAACTGCAAAACTGTCCTTCTCTGGAGCATTTGATATCTTGCTTCCTGGCATGTCATCAGTGTGGCTCAAATAAACTCAAACTCTTATACAAAATCTCTAAGGTTTTAGACATTCTGATGCAACACCCATTTAAAGTTGTTCATGAGGTTGCCAATTTCAAGTGGGAACCAGAGCCCCAGTAGGCTCCGTCCACAGCAAGTTCAGGCTGCCACACAAGCCACTCTAGCACATTCGTGATACCTGGTATGGATGCTGTCCAGAGCCTCTGGCCAACAAGAGCAGCACAGCACAGATCTCTAGGGGTTTGGAGCAAATCTCTGCATAACTACTTGCCTTCTGAGAAACAGTTCCTGGTTTGCTCTTGGGCCACGGCAGAAAGCACCTCACCAGAGGACATCGGGTAGCCATGTGGTCTGCGCTTGCCAGGAGGAACTAGTTGTTGTCCCACCTACCAAGCGATGAGACTGGGTGATTCAGGAATTCAGATGTGTGGGGAAGCCTGCTCCTGGAAGCTGAGAAGCCAGAGTGAAATGCGACATTTATCAATTTATTGTCTCTCAACTCCAAACCCATCCTTATATTTTACTCTGCTCTGAAAAAATGGAAGTCCTTTAAATATTTTTCCTTTACCAGATGGTAAATTTTAAGCGTCATCTGTGGAGGGCACTATTAATCAGCTTCTGTGCAGCATAACAAACTACCATAAACTCAGAGCTTAAGAAAGCATACACATTTGCTATCTCACAGCGCCTGTGGGTCAGGGATCCAGGCACAGTTTAACCAGGTCCTCTGTTCAGGGTCTCCCAAGGCTATAATAAGGTGTCGGCTGGGCTCATTCAAACTGTTGGCTGAATTCCTTTCTGTACAGCTGTACACTTAAGAGCCCCAGCTTCTTACTGGCTGTTGGCTGGATGCTGGTCCTAGAGGCCACCTGCCTCTCCCTGCCAGGTGGCCTCTCCATGGGCAGCTGACAACTCGCCTGTTTGCTCTTCAAGGCCAGCAGGAGAACCTCCAGTCTGCTGAGGCAGAGTCTTCCACAGTGAGATGTGACTTCCCACCACCTACGCACATTCTATTGGTTAGAGGCGAGTTACAGGTCCCGTCCACACTCAAGGAGAGACGATTATCCAAGGATGTGGATCAGTGTGGGGCGGG